TCATTTGCTATGATCCCATTTTTTAAATCTTTTATCATTTTAGTATAAAGATTTGAAAGTTCATTTATTTTATATCTATAAATGTTGATAGAAAACATATTTTCTCTGTTAACTAGAGACTTCAAAATATTTAAAGCCTTAACTTCTCAGTTGGATTTCTTACATTTTTTGCAATGATAATCAATAACAAATTGTTAGAAAAAATTTGAATTTGCTAAATTTCACATGCATCTTTGAATTTTTTTAAATACCTAACACAGTCATTTAACATTTTAATTTCCAGTACATAAAATAATGAACATTTTTTGGTTTAATTAATTCTCTTTTAGATGCATGAATACAACTTTTAAGAACCATAATTGTTTGAAATGTTTTAAATTAATTAGAAGCTGATAAACATGGAGTAAATTGAAAGAGGTTTAAGCAGTCACAATTTCCAGTTTATCATGAGAAAATTCATTAATATGATTGATTTTCCCTTTTTCCTATTTCTTAGAACTAATTTAATTGAATAAATAACAAAACTAATTCTTTACCTGCAACTAGATATTATGAGAAAGTCAGAAATATTTTCATCATGACTTCTATCAACAATTTCTTCACTTTCTTTTTTTCTCCATTAATATAATTTTCTCCACTAAACAAATTTTTACATTTACAAACAATTATTTTATTTGAGAAAAATAATAGCTTGTTTTGTCAAACTTATTTTCTACATAAACTAAAATTAAGAGATAGACTTACTTTTCTTATTTGAATACAATGCCTAACTTTTAAGAGTTAATTAAATTATTTCTTGTCAGGTGCATATTCAGAAATTGAATTTATAAGTCCTAATATATATATATATATTGACATGGAAAAATTATATGTAAAATCACTTTAAAAGCAGTTATATTTGAATACTGATAAAATAAATAAAATGATTTTTACATTAATATTCCAAATCAGTCTCATCAGTAAATAGCATTGTCTTTTCATTTTTTGTTTTTTTGTTTTTTTGCACTACTGGAATGCAAACTAAGAATAGAACTTTGTAAACAGAATATACCTAATGAGAGACAGATATTGAGTTTAGAAATAGTTACCTTCAACTTGGTTTTTAGCCTTTCACATGTGATAATGAGATGTATATTAGCTAAATCATAATGGTCCCTTAAAGATTAGTGAATATCATATAATATTTCCTTCTGGTCTTAGTTATTTTTTTGACAATTGTTTCTAATGCTTGGCATTCAGCAATAAATGTGATCAGCTTAAGGTCTCCTTCATGTAACCAATTTATCTTTTCAATTAGTCTTTGTTTTTTCATTCTGTTTCTTGGCCATTTTCTGGAAACAATTGTCATTTTTCTCATTAGATTAGACATAATTTTCATACTAAGAATATTTTTGCCATTTTTAACTGTTATATTTTTATATGGGCACTGATCTGATATTTTTACCATTATATTTCAGTGTATTCATTATAATTCCTTGTTTTATATACTTATATCATTATCTATGTAATACTTTGGAATTTTGAAATTCGTAATTTTGTACTTTACATCAGGTTTAATCACAAATTAGTTGTAAGAAATGTTTTTTGTGCCGACATGGTACAGAAGATAGAAAAGTTGATCAAAATTTTTCTTCACTAGCTCTCAGTTTTTGAAAAATTGCCTAAATGATGCAAAGTTGAGTTTACTTATAGTTTTGTATCCAGGAGAAATATTACATAGGTCAGTCATCATTATGTTGTAGGATTCACTACTCCAAAATGGTCCTGGAAATGTTTTCTGCTGAAATGTCCTTGATTGGAATGCAGCAGGCCATTTACTAAAATGATCAACTATTTTAGCCAGTAGCTGAATCCATTAAGCATTGGGAAAAGGCCCAACAATGTCAATATGCAAGTTAGTACATCTTTCATTGGGTTTCCTGAAATGTCCCAATAGTGATTTTGTATCTCTATTTATCTTGTGTTTCTGACATTTATTACAGCTTTGTGTCCATTGTTGAATATCCCTGCACATGTTTGGCCAAACATTGATCACTGATGAGTTTAACTATAGCTTGTCTTCCTGGGTGTTATAAACTGGGAAAGTGATGGAAGATTTAAGTAATGATGGTGGTATATAAGGTCAGGGATGACCTTTCACCATATTACAAAAATAGTTTTATCTCCAAAAGGAACTGGAAATACACATATCTGAAATGATGTATCATACTGCATGTTTAATAGAATAGAATATTTCGTCTGTTCTTCAGTAACTTGTAACTTAGTACATTTGAATTAACTGTTGCAATTGTTTATCTGAAAAGAGTGTCAGCTACAATGTTTTCATTGCCTGTAAATAAAATGAATGTCAGATATGAGCTGTGAAATATAATCAAAGGTGACACATATTGTGTGGTAAATATTTATGGGTTCCTGGAACCACAAACAATATTGGCAGACTCATATGAGACCAGGTAAAAAAAAACAAAACAAATGAACTGAAAACAAATAATTAATGCATGTATTAACAAAAGTATATCAGTGTGTACACAATTGTAATGAAAGGAAAAGACATTAAAACTATCTAAAAGAATGTGCTTGTTGTGTGTGTGTGAAACAAGCATATGTGTACAAGTTCAAAAGTCAACAGAGCACCGAGGAAGTAAACGTGCATTGTCAGCAGCATTCTTTATCTATATTTAACTACATCTGGAAGCAAGCATTAAAAAAAGAGAGAGCAAATATAAACTTAAAGTGTTTTTGGCAAAGCCAAGTAGGGTAACTCACAAAGTTAAATTAAAGAATACTTTATTATTCTTGATCTGTTGATATTTTAAAGAAATAATTTGGTGGTCTACACTTTTATTCCTTACTTTTTCTGATTAATATAAATATTAGGATTGTTGAATCTGGTTATGTTAAATTGTTATTGTTAATTACAGAATAAAATATTTTAATTTTTGTCATTCTTGGTTTTTACTTTATTATTTCAAGCACTTACAGAATTGTCAGGGATGGAAAAACATAATTGCTTCCAGATAAAATTTGGCCATTTTGCAAGTAATACGTTTGATACTTCTTGTCTTTGATTCAGAAGCACAGTTCCACTATGTCAGATTTTTATCATGCAAAGTCAAAGTTTTCACAATAAAATTTGTTAATAACCAACTGATCCTGGTAGCATATAAAAATTAATTTAATGGCACAATTGTTAAAAATTAAATTAATAAAACAAAATAATTGTGAAAAATATATAAAATATTATTGAGAACTCATACATTCTCAATTAATGTTTTATCTGAAGATTTTTTGGTTTCCAAAGAAATGTAAAAAAAAAAAATATAGATGGCGAATGTACTCTTTTTCTTCAAAGACTAATATTCGTTTTCAGTGTATATTTCGTTATTTTATTTTTTTCAGACGTGTTTGTGTTTAGTTTGTTTCATGTTAAAAACCTTTTGAAAGTAATGCAAAAAAAAATGATTCAATTTTAATAAAGAAAATTATATAATTTTCTCTTAATTCATATTTTTAACACTATATTTTAAGTTATTTAAAAGAACTTTATTAACTTTTTGCAAATAACTTATTAATTGTATTAAAATTAAATTGTAAAGTGGTTAAATTAGAAATACTATTAACAAACAAAAAAATGAATAATAATCGTAACTACAATGTAACAGTTGTAACTAATGGGCTTTTGTTGAAAGACTTATTTTAAAAGATTTATTGATTTCCAACATTTTCTTGTGGTGTTTTAAATTCGTAGTCCATAGTTACTTTACTCAATTTAAGTCCACCAAAATACAGAACTAATTTTAAAAAAATAAAATACATGAATAGAGAAAAAAAGACAAATTTCCATTGTTCAAAAATAAAATCAAACAAAATTTACCAAACATTTTGAATTTCGAATTAAAATTATACATTACTTAAGTTTTACTTGCCAGGCCAAATATATAATTCTAAATTTATATAAATAAAAAGTAGTGATTCAAAAAAAAAAAAAAATGAATTTAATAATAAAAGAAATAACTGGTAATTAATAACACAAAAATGTTACAACACGCCCTGTTTGGAAAATTTAAGTGCCAATATTGGAGTAAGGGAAATAACTCTAATCGATATAATTTTTTTTCTCTTGTCAATTGAGCACATCTTAAAAAGTTCCACGTTTCTAAACTGCCAGTTTCAAACTCGCTTAATTTACGGAGATATTTTCTTAAATATTTAATTATAATACAATAAATAAATTACTTAATTTTTAAAAACCATTCCTACAGTCAACATTTATATATAAGTAATTTGTAAATATTGTTTTGATGAATAATTTATAATCTTTACTTTATCTTAAATATTTTTTAATACCACATGTGTATAAAAAGAAATAAAAAAAAGACATGCCAAAATAATTTAACCCACTGGCTAAAAGATTATGATTCTTACTGTTTTTTAAGATGGGCACCTTTTTATGTTCCCACCTTAAAAATTTATATCAATTTCAATAAGAAAATGAGTACAACCTTTTGGTTTCTATTGTATTTTAGTAACCTATTGTTGCTTTTTAAAGACAGAAGTGATATTACTCTAATATTCTTAAATTTCTATTCAGTATTCATTAATTTGGTTTGATATTTTAAGCCAAATGAAATCTTTTCCTTTGCGAAACAGATTCGTTGATTATCTATTTTCCTATTCATTTTTATACCCAAAATGTTTGTTTTGCCCAAAGCTTATTATTTCATGAAATTGATTTGCTGTATATATAGCATTTTGGTATTGATTTGCTGTATATATCATTCTAAACAAAGCAAAGAAAATTTTAACAAATACAGATAACTATAAAAATTCTCTCTTTTCATTGTTGCTTGTATATTTTAAACATTCTAAGGAAATTTATGTTTATATTTTCAATAATGCTTAAATAGTCTGAAATATCCATCATTTTTTTATTTATTGTTTCAATAAACTATTTTCTTTTGAAATTTGACATCTAAATCTCATTTATCTTCATTTTTCAGGAAAATCTGTTTGAGAAAAGAAGATATTTAATTTTCTGCTGCTGAAAAAAAAACAACATTGAATTATATAATGTAGTTAATATTTTGGAATTTCTGTACCAAGTCAGCTTGACGATTCAACATTGGATTTACTCAGAAAATGCTTGGATTTTATTCTACAAGTCTTGGGATTGTGTATTGTATGAGGAATAATCTGTGATAGCCTTCCACTGTAAAAGTAGAGGAGGCCATTTTGTGTTTGTGTTTGTGTCCTAAAAAATTCACCATTCCCTTCTCAAGTATTTTCTCATCCCACATCAGAATGGGACCCCATCCAATATGGATGTTACTCTCTTTGAGTGCCATTACTCTTTGTGTTGCTTTTGATCTTCAGGGATCTAAGCCTTCTTATGCTAAATACAGTAAATGGGAACCATGTGACAATGGCACATTAACATTTGAATTTAAAACCGACCGACCTAATGCTTTGCTGATGTACACTGACGGAGGAGAAGATTATGACTTCATGGAGCTAAAACTTGTTGATGGTACATTAAAATTACGTTTCGACCTTGGAAGTGGAGCTGTGGTAATGTCTGCTGGCCACAGACTAAATGATATGGAATGGCATACTGTTGAAATCCAGAGAGATGGTACACAGACAAATTTGGTTGTTAACAATCTTGCAATTACCAAATTAACCAACCCAGTTGAGTCTGTCAAGGATGAGGAGGAGAAAGAAAGCTTTGTTTTCATTGGAGGCATGCCTCTGGAATATGGAGCCAAACTGAATAGATTGGCATTACCATCGGTTATATTTGAGCCCCAATTCCGAGGATCTATACAAAATGTGTTATACAGTAATTGTGGTGGACCAATGGAAGCTCCAGAAAGATTGGAAGCTAGTGGAATCCGTAGTGCAGCTAAAGACCTCTGCTTGGAGGAAGATCCTTGTCTTAATGGCGGAACTTGTTTAACAGTTGATTCGGGAACAATTTGTGAATGTTCAGGGACCAGCTTTATTGGTGACCATTGTGAAATTGGTAAGTTCACATCCTCATTTTTTACTAAATAATCAATGTACTAATCTTGCCCATTCTTATTCTGTTTTATACATTTTAATTCACCAGTTACTTTTGCATGAATGCAAGTTGAAAATCAGGCACCTAATTCAATAAATCTTTAATTTATCAGTATTGTTAATTTAATATTTATTCAAGGAGGAATTGAATGCAGAAACCAAAAACCTCAAAGAAGGTTTTCAAAGATTGATTTCTTCAACAAAAATATTTATTTTACATTTTAAGAAATAATTATCTTAACAAATATTACCTTTAATAGACTGATATAACTGATGATCATTATCAGAAAAGTAAACGAGTTGAGTAGGAAAAATGGAATAAAGAAGTAAAACAGTTATGTTTTTGTTGAGCTTATTATATTTATCAAGAATCTTCATAAAGTATACTCTCATACATTGGACAAAAAGATAAGTACTTTTGTCTATTCGACAGATCACAGCAATATATTATCTATTCGAAAATCAGTATAAGAACCACATTTTTCTATTTACATTTTTTCTTTAAAATGTATCTCAAATAACATTTTCCTTGAAAGATAAAGTTAAACTATATTAGCCATATATTTGCTTGTTCAGTTTTCTTCAGTTTGACCAATTACAACTTCTTATTTTTCTTTCTTTAGTAAATTTTTGTGTGTAGCAACAGTTATGTAGATACACTCTACTTCAGTTTTTGAACAGTGGTATAGGTTTATCCTTTGTTTCTTGTTTAGGATTGGGTTTCCAGTGTCTTCTTCAATTCTATACATCTAAAGTCTCTGCCTAAACTCTGAACATTATACTATTATTGAGTTTCTAGTTTATTCTAAAGTATTTTCCTTCTCTTAGTAGCATTATTGCCTTGCTTGGGGTGAATTGATTTAAAAAAATAAAATTCAAAAGATAGACATCAACCCAATGTATTGTTTATTATCCTGAGATTGGTAATAGTTTTATGTTATGCATATTTGTAATCTTCTATTTTGTTTAATTCTCTTTATAACTTCCAAAACAATCATGGTTACTTTTTTGTGTTTGTCCAATCTGAAGACCTAGCAGTCATCAATAATCGGTCATAATCAGTGTCATGTGAAAAAATACTTTTTCATTTAGCACATCTTATTTAAACTATTTCCTTTTGTATAGAAAATCAGAAAACTGTGAAAAGTCATTGATGAAAAATAACAATAGTCTAATTAAAGATTATTCATCTTATGTTCAAGTGAAAATAGTACTTTCCTAACTTGATTTTACTGACATTTTCAAAAAATATTCTTAGAAATCTGTGAATGCAAAGCAATTAACCAACATAACTTCATCAATAATATCATTTATTTTTCTTTTAGAAATGCAGTATCTTCCTTTCAATCTTTCAAATAGTTGGATTTTTTCAAACTGTAGCAATATATACTATTCACTTCCAAAATCTTGAAAAGCTATTTTTCACATTTGAAGTAATCTATTTTCATATTTCAGTCAGATAAGAGAAAGAACTAGTGTTTAAAATTAATAAGCCTTTTAATCAAATCATGTAAAATTATTTCAAAGATCCATCTATTATGGAAGAGAATCAGAGGACAAAAGAACTCATACCCTGATTTAAATTCCTGATGCAAAATATTATTATATCAATACAATTCCCTTGTAAAAGGTTTGCAGATTTATTAAAGTAGATATTTTATTTTATATTCCTTATTCTAAAGAAATAAATCTCAAGATATAACTTTATTACTGACATTTTCCTGTTATCTGTTGGAACTTATAAGTTGGTAACATTTGTTATTCATAAATGTTTCTCCTTTAAAATGTTTTATTCAATTTCAGAAATGATGGAATTAGTTTGATTTTTTTTCTTTAGAAATAAAGTTCTAATGTAATAAATTAATGTTTTTTCCCTACAGAAGTATTATTTTTAAAAATAGATTTAAATTTATTTTCATAAAAAAATGAGTCAGTTACAAGATATATATTACTTTTGAAAAAGTATAGAGAAAAATGTTTTCAATTTCTTTCTCTCATAAATTCAATTTTATAACTGAAACATTTCATTCACATTTATACAACTTCTTGGAAGTTTGGAATCTCAATTATCAACATGAGATTTTGTTGAAATTTATTGATCCAGTTTAAACTGGATTCAACTTCTTCACAACTTTATAAAAAAGAATTATTACTAAATTTATGTTATTTCCAGTAAATATTCTGAAATTATTTTTTAATCCTTTATAATAAATAATTTCATCAATAGCATGTATTAAGAAGGAGGAAAAGTGTCAACCCTTCTTACTAAATGTTGTTTAATTTTCTATGAAGTATACATTTGTGTGTTAATTCTACTATTAAAACTCATCTTTTAGAATTTATTTCAAGGGCCTATGTAAATACAGACATACCTATAGACATGCATATATTAATATTCCTTCATCATGCCAGTTTATATTAGGTATGATAGAAGTTCACAGTACCCTCTGTTTTGAAAACTAGAAACTGAATACAGAGTAGAAAATCATTTTTTAATAAAAAACACTTGCACATACCTAGTTTCAAGTAACTATTATAATGGCAACTATGATTATTTTCTGCTTTTGTTTCAAATCATAATTTTTTGAGGCCTAGAATTTCTTTCTTAATCAGATTCATTCATCTGTAAGACATCAAATAGAACATTGTTGTTTTTATGCTTGAATCAATATTTCTTTAATATGAACAGATTGATTTTTAGTTTGAACTTCACAAATCACTCATTGTAGAAACTGAATATTGCTTTAAAGGTCTTGTTATATTCCAGAAAATGGTGTATGTTTTATATCAGTGATCAGCACAAGTATTTTAGCCAAGTTTCCATAATGCTACAATACATGTTGATCTATCTATGCTTGTTTTTATATCTATCTATCTATCTATCTATCTATCTATCTATCTATCTCTCTCTCTCTCTCTCTCTCTCTCTCTATATATATATATATATATATATATATATATATATATATATATATATATATTGGCTCAGAACAAAAGTTTGTATTGTTTTTAAGTAACTTTTAAAGATAATATGTAGATATTTCTATATTGATTTGTTCAATCATATTTGAGAAAACTTCATGATTCTATCTTCCTAGAACTTTGCATTATTCTTGGAGATGAACTGGTCTAAGTAGTCTTTACAGGCTTCAAGGGAATTAAAGTTTTTCTCATTAAGATAATTTTGTAGAGATTGACATAAATAGTAATCAGAAGGTACAAGGTCAAGTGAGTATGGAAGGTGTAGTAAGACACCCATTTTATCAATTGTGGCCTTTAATCAGTACATTTGGGAACAGTACTTGTCTGAATTCAGTGTCTGATTTTGTGGAAGGAGTAGCTTTTGGAGTGGTTAATAGTAGCTCATTTAATTTCTTGCAGGATCTTTTTCATTCTACATTGTTGTAAACAATGTGTTTTTAATCACATGTGATCATTCTTTTCAAAAATAGTTCATTTTTTATGCATTTGAGTAGAGAATTGTAGGTGAGAATGTGGTCCATTAAATATTTTTCTGTTAAATTATGATGCAATTAACATATCCAACTATTTTCAAATGTCTTACAATGTTCATATGAGATATGGTCAGTATCTCTGAGATGTCCCATTTTCATTTGACCGAGATTATCTTTTTCAGTCTTTTGTTAGAAAGAATTTATTTACAATTCCATTTAAATGAAAAAGACAAATTTTCCATTTAGATTTTATTTTTTATTAAAAATTTTACCAGAATAACTTGGATTAATTAAAGTAGAATATCTCAATGAAATTATATATTTACTTACATCCTGTGAATTGTTCAGTTTTTATCTGCATTGATTTATTAATGGAGTGAATGTCAATAAAATTAGGAATAAAACTGACACAGATAAAATGCATATCTCTCAAGCCACAGAATAGGTAATTTTTTTAAATACCTCAAACATTTATCGATTAACAATCTATACATTATTTATTCTTTATATCTGAAATTACTTTTCTACTTACAATGGTGATTATGATATTTAAGGATATACTACCTATCTGATCAACCTGAATCCTTTAACTTGCTAACTTGTCATGGAACAATAGTTAAACATAGTCTCACAGACTATATTAGTGAGTTTAATTCTCACTTTGTGCCTTAAGAACTTAATAAGAACTTAAATAGATCTTGTTACAACAGTGAAGTTCAAAGCTCAAGTATAAAACAATATAATAGATTGTTTTCTTCTTGCAAATGACTCATTTTAATTAACATTTTCTCAATTTGAACAATGTAATGAGTCAAATTTCAAGAAAAAATTTTCATATACACTATAAAAATTGCTATTATAGAAAGAACATATTTGATAATTTCTTCTCAGAATGTACCTTCAATAAATTTATTGCAGAAAACATCCAAGAAACTTCATAATTTCTGCCAAATTACACAATTGGTCAATACTTTAAAGATTGCATTATGTATCATGAGATATGACTAATTTATAAAACAACTAAAACCTGTCAGTTATGAATTTCTCCTTGCTTATTTCCTTCTTGTGTTAAATACAAAGGAAATGATTGCTATGTTAAGATTCTACTTCTGTGTACCATATCCCTTCAGGAGATTTGTGATCATGGCTCGCCAAAGTTTCCTGTCCTTAAGCATAAGTGTACTTTTCATTTCCATTTTCTCTAAATCTTCATCATTGGTCACATGTTCAGTTTGTGCTATTCTCAGCATCCTTCTGTAGAACCATATTTCTACTGCTTCAGATCTCTTCTTCATCTGTAAGGAGATTGTCCAGTATTTACTGCCATATGCATTTACTGATATTACATAGCATTTCAGTACTCTTTTCTTTATTTCTAAAAAAAATGTTCCATTTTTTAATACTTTACTTTGCTTTTGTAAATCATCTTTCACTATTCCAATTTGCCTTTGGATTTCAGTGTCACACTCTCCATCCTCTGTTAAAATACTTCCTAAATATTTAGATT